TGGGGCACACAGAGCTGCGCCCCAGCAGAGGCCCTGGGGCCACCCAGCTGCCACCCCACCTGCCAAGGGCTGGCACAGGTCAGGCCTGAGGCCTCTGCAGATGAGGATCAGAGATCCCAGATCACCCACTGAGGGCCCAGCGGGAGGAGCCGCCAGGAGCTGAGGGAGGGACGGAGCCGAGGACACAGGCCCCTCTGCTCTGATGGGGACAGGACGGGCGGGCAGAGGCCACAGAACCGCCCGGGACGGAGGCGGGGCATCCAGAGGTGAAACAACCGCTGGAACAAACCTGGGTGCTCTGGGCAGACCACCTCCCACGGGAAGTTCCCAAGTTACAGGGAGCACGGCTCTGCCCTTGAGAAAGTGGCCGACACTGTGACCAGCGGTCACAGGAGAAATCACCAGCAGGAGACATGCCTGGCGCCGCCCGGATCTGACGCCATCGCCAGAAAACGCCAGACAAACCTGCAGTCTGCTGGTGCCCGAGCCCAGAGCTGGAGGAGACAAGGAGGGGGGAGGGGGGCGCCACGGCCTCAGCTCACACGGGTCCCCGGCAGGGCCAGCGGCCAGGACAGGACCCGAGTGGGGTGCCAAGGCAATACTGTGAGCACAGCTGGGAAACGTGAGCTTTGGAATCACACGTCCTGAGTGAATAAACGAAAGAAACCCCCGTGGAGACACCGTGAGGAAACAGCGGGACATCAGAGGGGAGTCCCGACGTCCCGTGAGAACCCTCCCCCCAGGTCTGTAGCATCAGGGTCCTGGGTTCGATTCCGGTCAGGGGTGCGTGCAGGGGGCAACCAATCAATGTGTTTCTCTCACATCTAAGTTTCTCTCTGTCTGTCCCTCTCTCTCCCACTCTCTCTAAGAATCAATGGGAAAATGTCCTCGGGTGAGGATTAAAAAAAGAATCACCAACAGATGCTGAAACTAACAGATAGAAATCCTATATAATAAAAGGCTAATATGCTGCACGAATTCATGCACCGGGCGTCTAGTTGAGAAATAACTGGATGTTTAGTCTCAAAGTACAACCCTACCAGGTGGACACAGATTACAAAGGGGAGAGAGATAAGGGACACTTCCCTCAAGGGGAGGAGGCGGGGAAGAGGGCCTGCCCATGGAGAACTGGGACTGGCACTTCCTGGTCTGGGACATACTGGTGCAGAGACAGACAGACGGAGCAGCACTCGGGCCCTGGCCGGTGGCTGTCGGTTGGAATGCCGTCCTGCACACCAGAGGGCGGGTCCCTTCCCCGTCGGGCACATACCCAGGTGCGGTTCCACAGCCTCTGATGCTCGGAGGGTTGTCACCCAGTCCAGGAAAAAAAAATGGACCCTTACACCCACGGGAGGCGCAGGCGGCGAAGGAAAAGCCTGGCGGCAGCGCTCCTGTGTGAGATGCCAACGTGTGACATGGTGACCAGGGAGAAGGCGCGGGAACGTCTTTCTGGTCCCAGGGCAGGGTCACCTTAGTCCAAACCCCAGAGGCACCGCCCATACAGAAAGGCAGGAAGGAACGGCCACCGGCTACGTTAAGACCTTCTGTTTCATCAGAAAACATCACAGAATCACAGGTGCCAGCCTGGGAGAAGGATTCACACACAGAACGTAGAAACAACTCCGACACCTCCATACGAAACACGCAGAAGCGGGCAGGGTCCTGGGTTCGATTCCGGTCAGGGGTGCGTGCAGGGGGCAACCAATCAATGTGTTTCTCTCACATCTAAGTTTCTCTCTGTCTGTCCCTCTCTCTCCCACTCTCTCTAAGAATCAATGGGAAAATGTCCTCGGGTGAGGATTAAAAAAAGAATCACCAACAGATGCTGAAACTAACAGATAGAAATCCTATATAATAAAAGGCTAATATGCAAATTGTCTGGTCGAACTCCTGAGTTCAACTGGGAATTCAACCAGGGGGCGGGCCTGGCTCTCCAACTGCCCTCGACCCTCCCTC